ATTTGGCATATCCTTCGTACTTGGCGGAAAGAGAGTGTTGAGCATGGCCAAGGCGTTAGGTTTGTAAAAGTGCTCTGATTGTAACTCGTGGGCCATAGTCTGTCTTGTGGTCAGCACTCATCAATTTTAATAGCTGAGATAAAGACATACCCAAATCCGAAGATCTACAAATGAGTGCGCATAGTAGGACGCAATCTCAAGCTCCTGTTTTTGAACCCTCTTTATCCATTGATATGCATCTTGATCTTGAGACAGGGCATCTCTCCAATTGTCCTTCCTGATACCAAGTTGCGTGGCAGCTTCCCGTAACGCAGCCCGCCTCGTACATTCCAGGTCTCGGAGGTAATCCAAGGCAGGCAACGCTTGATTGAATTGCGCTTCTTCATAATTCGCTTTGAAAGCACGGTCCAGACATATCCTCCGAATCAAAAGTAAAGAATGACCGCGCGGTTCGCTTGCACTGGTGCAATCGATATCAAACAGAGGATCTTCGCTCACATCTAAGCATTGGTTAATCGGATCATGCACAGCATTGATGTGATCAACATTGCCCCAGTCAGAATTCTGGGACTGCACGAGCTGGGAACTGTCGGCCGCGAGGTCGTTGGCTGGTGTGTTGTGCGGTAACGAGGCAAGGAACTCGATGATTAGTTTTCCTTTGGTGTCATAGTTCCACCATTGATGCGCTTGCTGTAAGGTTGGGAGTTTCTCGCCTTGGGTTGGAAATGTTAGCTATGGACGTGCCAATGGGCGACAGATATATATAGCCTACCGGCATTGAAGGAAAACATGATGCGCAGAGGTAGCTCGCTCGATAGCTGGCGATGAAGAATATGATGCAAGATCCATGGAAGAGATGTCGAGTGTTTATCGCCAGACAAGGTAGATGCAGATGTAGGCAAACGTGATGTTGAGCGTGATGCCGAGTCCGGCTTGGCGGTGAATATTGTCTTTGGGATCGGCCCGGAAGATAGCATCTTTGAAGGCATTTCGAGCTGAGGTATCCACCATCAAAACAAAGAGCGGCTAGAGTCCAATGTCCCACGCGTCAAGTACGCATTAAGAACCTTTTGTCTCCTCTTGAGTAAAGGTAACTTGGGTCCTCCTGATAATCAATAAACCTTATTACACCCCAATCTGTTACAAGCAGTGTCTTGAGGAAATAGGTGAGGTTTGCTCTGGGCCAGCGGCAGCTTGGACATATATAAAAATGCTACTATACCGGATAGCTGGGAAAGAGCCCGAAGTCTTCCCCCTGAGTCTTGATATTTTATGCTTCTGTACCACCAATAACGACTTTGGGGTGGCTTGTTGTAAGTCAGACACTGTTAGAATGCAGGTTACTAACACGGAGACACAGGAGAACCGTAGGGATTCCCACCAACGAGGCCGTAACAAACTTTAAAAGTTCTTGGGTATCTCCGAACCGAACGGTTATGGAATGTAGACATCCGCGACAAGCAAACGGGAAAGGCGAAGGTTTTAATCAATGATAGAGTCGAATGTCAGGGACGATGGCCGAGGCTCGACGAAAACACCATAGCAGACCACGTACGGCGGTACTCTTGACGTTATCTTCTCCGTCTGCTCGGAATTTTCGTATAGGAAATGTCCACTTGGACAAACCTACAGTACTGTATGAATTACTTGTATTACTCCGATAAAGCAGGGTCGGGGGTTCTATAGGTCAATTAGTGTGGAGTCGTCCCAATGCATTGACTTCATGCATTATGATTATTGGATAGGCGTAAGATCGTTGGTATCTCTTTTTGTTGATACAGTACCGGTATATTATTATACCTTGTCTAGGTATGTGACGTCGAATATTGTTCCTGGGAGACGATCATGCATATGATGCAGGCCTGATATGCTGAGTAGCAGTTGGCTCCTTGAACCTGAAAACCATCCCCCGTCAATGTTATTTCTATTGATTCCACAGACAAAATCTACCGAAAGTCGAACGTGAGGAAGGATTTATGCAGGGCATACCGTTGGAACATGGCTGGATGATGTGCAGCAGAGATGGGGTTGCCTGCATAAGCTGGACGTTGATGATGCAGGGACGAGACGAAAACATGTTTCCACGCTCGGTCAGAGCGCGCCCTCAGCCCTACTATTTGGGGATTTGGAGCCATGTGTGTGAAAGCAGAGCCACTCAGAACCGAGAGAACCAAGACAAAACATGAGTTAACGCGAGTTACTGTATCCATTGAAGCCTTAAATCCGTGATGCAGTGCACTTCTTTCTTCTTTTCCAAGTCGTCTGTCCTTCTGCAACACAAGCAATACGGACTGCAGCATCATTACTTCGTATTGTCAAAAGCCATCATATAGCCTTTCTGATACAGTACATGCGTTTGTTGGTGGGTAAAATACCCCGCGTTCAACTTTTTTTTTGTGATGCATCTTGTTGCAATCTTACCTGCAACCAACTCGAAGCAGCGACTCTGCTCTCCGACATCCGAGAGGGTGAAGTGGATGTGGGATTCATCTAGCTGAGGTTACTGTATATCCTTGCATGGCCAGCTTGGATATCCTGGAAAAGGAACTCCGTATGTCCAGATAGAGCTGGAAATGTATAGGATGTCGTACGACGTTACAAGACACATGCACCGCACTGCGCCTTCTTCTTAAATTCAATTATCTGTGCACCTCCGTCGGGCAGACTGTTTGCGTGACAAAAGATCTGGAGGATAGACTATGTAGCCGTCCGTCATCTAGAAGGCTTCTGTATTACAAATGAGTGAGGGTGACAGAGTTTGCGAGGTTTGGGGGGAGGGGGGCCGCGATGTGTTCTTTGTCATGAAATAAGGTTGCTGTTCTCACTTCAAGGAAGGTGATTTCTGTGGTGACTTATTTTACCCCCGAGCGCATAATCCATCCTGCTCCCAGCCACCTGTGTTGTCCAGCTTTCCTCCCCCCATTCCAGTCATGCTCAGATTGTGCATTGGGTGGTGCTCAGCAACTGTGGCTCAGCTCTATTTTGGGTACTTATCTGAAATAGCTGAAGAGTTTCCATCCACAACGAAAAGCTGCGGCTCGACTGGATATGCCCACACTTTTCCCCCACCGTGGCACTAAACGGAACAGCTACCTCTTCAACGGCAGCCACTGCAACTCGATGTACGGATACATACACTATCCTTGCAGGCGATAGCTGTAACCCAATTGCGAAAGCAGAAAATGTTCCAACTTTCTCTCCAATGTACACGAACAATTTGGAAGCATACTGCGCCGACATCCCCGCAGTAGGCTTATCAGTCTGTCTTCCAGGCCAATGCGACGATCACACAGTCGTCGTCGGCGACATGTCGATATATCATTGCGGCCGTATCTGGGGACATTACTCTAACGCGACTGTCCTCTTGATATCCGAATATCAAGATCGGATGCGGAAATTTGGGTCAATTGGTAGATACAGAGATATGCATCAGTCCTGTCGGCGGCCTTCTCCCTGCAACGGTTCCCGCTCAGACGACAGGTATCACGACCGTTGCGTAAGTCTAGATGCCCCTTGAGCAGCACCATCTCAATCTGGTATTTCAACAGCTTGCACAAAATACTATGTGAACAAGTCAGGTGACGGCTGTGATACCATTGAAAGTGCATACGGTATTACATTCGTGCAATTTTATGAGTGGAATCCGGCGGTTGGGAGCAATTGTGGGAGTTTATGGCTTCATGAGACTTATTATGTTGCTGCGCCGACTACGCCGACTACGAATAGTGGAGTTGATTTTGGGTGGAAAGGGGGGCAGGATATCTTTTGAAGGGGTAAAGAGAGGGCTTGAGGATGTGAGCGTAGATGATGAGGGCGAGGTGATGTTTGGAGGAAAGTAGTCGCCAGGCTGGGGACGTTTCATTATCGGGGATATTATGAAGACAAGAGAAGGTAGCGCTTTATCCCTGGAGAACCTCGTCTAGGGCGGAACATATACAATCCAAGCTTGTACTTCGTATGATTAATTCAGATGCTTGTAGGTGGGAATGTCAAATGTATATTCCATGATAGCCAAGCTTAAAGGAACGTCGTTTAAAATGGGTTGTGTTCAATCGAAGAGACTGGTCACCCTACATAATTATCCAGTCTGGTGTGCAAACACGGTAGCTCAGCTAAGTATGCTGATCTATTTAAAAGCAAATATAATGTTCATATCATACAGATCATAAATTACTATAGGTATCAACTCGTTCATCATAATGATTCGTTAACCTTACTCGTATCCTGTGAACTGCTAACTCCTAGCCACCGCCAAGCTCCAAATGCGCACTCCCGAGCTGTCATGATTCTTTCTCCACCACAACATCCAAGTCCCCACATGTGCCTATTACAGTACATCTCGCAATAGCCCTTCGGCTTAATCCCGAGCCTTTGTTGCAACAGGCACCGCATACTATGAGGGCCGTTGCATTTCCGGGGCGCGTATTATACCAGATTCCCTCTGTGCGGCCAAGACCGCGTCCACCCGTGGCAACGCGTAGTGTAACACGTATACAACAAAGATATATTGCTACAGATGGCGAAGAAGAGAAATTGAGTAAGTGCAACCTATGGAATCTTTCAATGCATTATGCTCGCTGCGGTCTGGTTTGCTTTTTGCTTTTTGCTCTTGCTTTGCTTGTTATTATTAGCTTTCTGGCTGTGGTGGTCGTCGCGTAACAGGCCAGATTTTCATGCACCCCAGAATCTGCAGACATTCTTCCGCATATGATTGCTAAGGTCTGGGATCTCTTGATTTTTCCTGTTACAGTACATACATCGGCGACGTATGGGCTACCGCAAGATTGCGGACGGAATGCCATGCGGGCTTGCCTTGACTCAAGTGAGGGAGTGAAATATGCTGGAGCACGTGACACGGGAATTTTTGATGGCATGTGCTCAGAGGAGTGTATATGGCTGACTGAACACAAGAGGATGAGAAGACAACAGATAGAACCAAAGATGGACCAAAATCTCAAAATCATTCAAGGTTTCGAGATGAGCCTTCACTACCTTCCAAAATGCTGGAATCAGCAGCCACTGCCTTTGCATCCATCATCGTCTTGGGAACAGGATTCGGACTTGGTGGCTATCTCTACCACAAGTCATACAAATGGCTGGTATTACACAAGATGGAAGGTGCTTTCGAACCAGGCGATCCAGTCCTCGAGCTCGCAGCTATAGGCAAACAAATCCCCAACACGATCGCCAGCCAAGGCCCAGAGCAAGAAGCCCACTGGATCTTACGGGAAGAGCAAACCAAGATTGACGCAATCGTCAATGGCACCGATCACGGACACTATCATCTTCTAATAGGAGAGAAGGGGACAGGGAAGTCCAGTATGCTGCTCGATGCTATGAAGAAGGTCGACGGCGAAGGAATCAGCATGTTCGAAGCACATGCAGACCTGGAGATCTTTAGAGTCCGGCTGGGGAAAGCATTGGACTTCGAGTTCCACGAAGACTACATCGGTTCGTACTTCTCCGAGAGGGGTCCGAGGGATTCTACAGCGCTTCTAGATATCGAACGTGCCTTCAACAAGCTGGAAAAGGTAGCCCTGAAAAGACGAAGGAGAGTCGGCAGGCCATTAGTCCTCATCATTAATGCAGTGCACCTCCTTCGAGACGATGAAGATGGAAGAGACCTAATCGAGCTACTACAACAACGAGCCGAGCAATGGGCAGCCAGCAATCTCGTGACTATGGTCTTTAACGTAAGGATAAGTGGTTCTTTGATTATACCCTACCCCCTTCTATAATTTTTCGTCTCATGTACTCAAATTACTCCTTACATACTTCCTAAAAGGGAACATGCTATTCTTCTGCTCTCAAAACACTCCTGAAGGAGAAATAGCTAACTCCTCCGTGATCTAGAGCGACGATTACTGGGTGTACGAACGACTAAAAGTACTAGCAACACGCATGGAAGTCACATCCGTCACGGATCTCCCCAGACTCCAAGCCCTGACCGCCCTCGCCAAATACCGCGCAAAATACCACAAAGAAGTCCCCACCTCCGAGATCCTCGGCGAAGTCTACAGCCGCGTCGGAGGCCGCCTCACGTACCTAAACCGAGTTGCGAAATCAAAGGATATGATCAAGACATGCGACGAGATCATCGATGTTGAGCGACGGTGGTTTTTGAACCAATGCTGGATTTTGGGCATGGAAATGGATGATGATGTGATGGATCAGCAGAAATACGCCGTTCGTCCCTCCCCTCCCCTCTTTCACTTCACTTCCCAAACCAGAAACCATCCATATGACTAACAAGACCTGTAACACAACCCATAGGCCGCAGCAATGGTCCTAGCCCTCGCCCTCGTAAAACGCGAATCCGAACTCGCCTCGCAACCCAACCCAGACGGCTCCCACAACATCCCGCAAATCCCGCTGCACATTGCGCGGCAGATTATGACGCGCGCAGATTTCATCCGGGAATATGATCATATCAACCTCTTCACCATAACTTCCAGCGCCTTCGTGCGGGCGGATTCGGTGCCGATGCAAAGGGCGTTTCGGAGTATTTGTTGCGAGGAGGGCTTCGAGGCACATCTCGAGGCTACGCTGCAGCGCATTAGCGATATTGAGAGTCTGGGGCGCACGCGGGAGTTGGTGGCGAAAGATTTGGTGCTAGGGGGTCGGTATAAGTTTTTGTTGACGGATGGGGAGAGGAGGGGCGAGAAGGTTACAGAGGTTGTGTTGGAAGAAAAGGCGGAGGATGGTGGTTAGCTGGAGGCAAGCTGGAGGCAAGCTGGGTATCGAGTGTACGATTAATTGTACTTTGTTGTATGTATCGGTAACATAGACGGGGAGAAGAAAATATTGATATCAAGTCCAGGAGCTTACGGCTAATGCTACTCGTCCCCTCTTCCTAGTTGAATATCGCTTCGATTTCACTAATCGCTTATCATGTTCGCATTTACACTTCACCTCCTCCATCTAAACCCAAGAATCTGCTAAAACGGTACCTAGTTCAGTCTTTGCGTTCTAAGGAGGCGGAATCCGCGGTTTCAACTATACAAGCTCCCACTCTTGTACAGTAGATTGATCTGCCTCTGGGCCTGTATATTTAGTGATCCATGGATGTTTCCGAACCTCATCGAGAGACAACCGCTTATCAGGATCAAGAACCAGGAGCTGAACAGTGTTAGAATCCTCGCGTACACTCTTGGATATTAGTAGGTATGTCTGTCTGTCTTACCTTGCGTATCAAATCCCCAGCCTCACCACCCACAGAACCCGGCACCGTAAAATCCAACCCCTCAATCCTCTTCTGCGTCACCGCAGGCAGATCTTTAAACGGCGCTTCCCCCACCAAAAACTCATACACCAACACTCCCAAACCCCACAGATCAACCTTACTCGTATACGCATCATGGTCTTTGCTTTCGCTTTCGCTAGCGCTCTTCAACATCTCCGGCGGCAGATAATCCAACGTCCCGCACAACGTACGTCTCCTATACTCAGGCGGCCGTGCAAAAACAGCCCACTTAAACCCCGAGATCTTCACCTCGCCATCCGTGCCTAGACGCAGGTGTTCCGGCTTCAGATCCCGATGGATGACATGCCTGCTATGCAGGTACTGCAGCGCCGCCACCACACCCGCGATATAGCGCGCTGCGTCCGCCTCGGGGAAAGCCTTGTGCTCCTGCAGCCGCTTATACAGATCCCGCTTCTGCGTGAGTTCAAGCACGAGATACACATTCGTCGCGTCTTCGAAGCGCCCGTGGCATCTCATGATATTCCGTTGGTGCAAGGTGCCGGGCATGTCTATCTGCCGCTGGATCTGCTCCCACTCGGTTAAGGGATGTTGGGTCTGGAGCCGGGCGAGCGCTGCTTTGGAGAGCGTTTTGAGCGCGTATGTACGTGTCGGGGACGAATCTCGTTCGCGCGCGAGATGGACAGTGCCGTATGCGCCGTTTCCTAGGAGCTCGCCGATTTCCAACATGGAGAGGTTGAATTGCTTGGGCTGGGCGGTAGGAGGCTGCGTGGAGGGTTGGCTGGGGTTGTTCGAGGCTTCTGCATTATCTGCATCTGGCGTTTTCAAGGCTGTGTCAACTGTGTTTGTTGGATGCGTGTTTTGCGATGGCTGAGACGTTCGCGCCGAGGACGGGTCCTGATTGATGTTAGTCTCATAGAGTCGGTCTTCACGGAGAACGTTTGAAGTACCTCGTGATTCTGAAGCTTATGTTCAGCATTTGGATCGTGGGTTGTATTCGCCAATCCAGCTTCAGCTTCAACGTCCCGAGCACTTTCCATTTTGACGCCAGCGAATCCCTAATAACGATTTCCTCTAGAATAAATATTTGCCGTTTTTGAAAGGAGATCGATTGATCTGATCAAATAGCCAAGGAAGATTCCCAATTCGACACAGGTGAGCGATCTTTGTATGTTAAACCTAGAACTGGAATATAATAAGCATAAACACAGAATCTATAAAGAGATAAAGGAGATTATGTTCAATCCAAGCTCTTTAATAGCTATATTCTTTACTTGCACTTGAGTCATGCAACCAACATATAGCTCCAACAGATCAGGCAGCACTGCAGCAGGGCACTTAGCAGCATTTATTGCATATTAGGACAGCGTTAGCTGTTTATACCTGAATCGATTTTAGTAATATTTGGTAAAAAGAGATGCACTTGCATACTTAAACTTCGTTGTATTTCACATTAAAATCAATAGCAATTTCTTACTATTATACAGCACAGCTATAGTCAATTCCATATTCCAGGATGCTTACCGAGTAAGCTGCTCACTCTCATGCAAGGCAGCAAATCTGGATCCACTGCAACTACCGCATGCATAACAGCGCCCGCATGACAGCGCGTGATCCTTGTACCAACCAGAGTGGCCCTACCTTTTAGATAGTTCAGCCCGTGAAAGATAACATTACTGCAATCCAGCAGTCGACATGGTCACAATCACAGTCTTAATCGTCCAAGTTGCGCCCCCAACGTCCCCGTTAGCTTTTCTCGAGGCGATCAAATCGTCAGGGCTTACGCCAGTAACCATCGCGCGTGTCGTTCAAGTACTCAACCCTTTTCTCTGTCCTTCCTCTTTGATTCCGCCGTATCGAGATTCCCGAAAAGCGTTTCATCCTCTCAGGTCTTGCCTTTTGCGGAGGTCATAGTAAATAATTCTTCTCGTTGTAGTGGATCATCACCCCAACCCACGCGAACCACCTCACAGCTCACAACTGGGACTTCCTGATAATCCTCGACCCCACAACCACAGCCTTACCAGCACTTCTTGCCTCCCTCTGCTCTGACATCTACACAGGGCGAATCCAAGAATCCACCACCTTCGCCTTAACATTCAAGGACCTCAATCCCCAACGGCTATCCCCACAGCCAGCAGATATCCCACCCCTCGCCAACCTTCCCCGCACCCCTCTCCTCGCCACCTCCTCCCAGAATGTAGAACTCACCCCCTCACTGTTAGCATTCAGCACGTCGCCCCTCTGTCCCACCGGCCCAGTCTCCATGCTGAACTTCATCTCCTTCCAGCCCTTCCCATCCGCACAGGCCAGCTACGGCGAGTACATTCGCGCCTTTACCTCGAGCGTGGGCAGGGAGAGAGGCGGTGTTGTGAAGATGATAGGGCCGGTCGAGGATAAGGGGGAATGGAATGAGGTTGTGCTGGCGCAGTATGCAAGTCTGGGCCATTTTGCGGATATGATGAGTGATAAGAAGTATCAGGATGTTAATAGGCGGTTGAGACTGCCGGCGTTGAGGGATACATGTATTTTGATGACGACGGAGGTTGATTTGGTGTGGGGTGAACAAGAAGCCACTCACGTTTGAGACAAGCCCATTTAAGAAAACGTAGAAGTTGAGTTGGTTTGAATCCGCTTTGGTGCTGGGAATGCCAACTAACTTTTAGGCTTAAGAAAAGTTTAGGGTCGCAGGAGGGGGACATCAGTTGGCGCTAGGCTAAATAAAGATTAATTGGCATCCAGGGGTATCTGTGTATTCTACGAGCGGCTCATCAAGATAACAGCCTTGACCTTAGTTTCTTTAGACCTTGCAAGTCTCCCTCTTTGGTCTCCTGCAATTCCATCTCTACATACTCGAGCGTACATCCACCACCAAAGTCGATCAATATCGCATCTCCAGAAGGGCCAATCATGACATTGTCCGGCTTCACATCCCCCCAAACAATCCCATACTTGTGTAACCTCTTGACTGTCTCATCAATCTGATCCATCCATTTCCGTCTCTCAGGAACCGAGGCGTCTAGAATTGCATCACGGAGCGTCATTCCATCGATTCGCTTCAATAGCATACCCATGAGAAGAGAGTCTTGCCCGTCCCAGTTGACAAGGCCCACAATTCGCGAAGTTCGGATGCTAAGATCGTGTTCAGAGATCTTTTGTAGCTTGGCCAAAATCTCAACTTCTCTCTGAAACCCGTGTCGTTTATCGCCTGCCTTGAAAAAGAAGTCGTCCGTTGTGTTGACCTTTCGCACAATCCGCGGAGTCTCACACATCAATTCTTCGACGGAGTCGAGACCTGCTGCTCTCACTAACTGGGATGCCGGAACCAAAGGTACAATAGGAAGGGCGGATCGAGATATGATGCCATCCCTAGGTACTTCGTGGCTTGATGAAAGTCGACTTTGTGCATTTTCAATAATGGCAACTTTGGGGCTGGCATCTCCGAAGATTTTCTGATCGAAAGCAAGCTCGTTTGCCTTTATTTTACCGCCCTCGTTGAACAGCTCGAAAACATAAGTTTCGGGATCATAATATTCCAGCAGGGTGGTCGGTTTGGAGATAGGTACAGGAACCAATTGTTTGACCCGCTCATGGATCGGGCCAATAGCCCATGTCTCGAAGTCGCAAAAAATGTCTGGGTCGTCAATATCATCCTTGAACTCATAGAATTCATCGATCAGGCTCCCTTCTCCCTCCAGACGTTCAGCAGCGATTTCGACAATGAACCGTTTGTTGCGGGTCATGAATGTGTAGGAGATGGAGTCTTCAAGGATAACCATCTCCTGCATAGAAAAAGAATACACCGTAGGGGCGCCATTTGTCGCATTTGTGGTCTGGTCCATGATATTTGACCACCGAGAGAGAGCGTAGACCCGACCGAGAGTAGTTGTCGAGTGTGGAGTGTGGAATCCGCGATTTTCAGAGAAGTGGAGCTTCGGTGCTTGCAATAGCAGGTAACTATACCAATTCTTATATTATACTTCCTCTATTTCGAAGCCAGCTCGCTTATCCTCACAGCGCTAGACCTAAATGAAAAGCGCAAAATTATAAATTACAACAACAAAGAGAAATGCAAAAAGGTTCGGCAAGTTTGCCTACTCCTCATGTCATCCCTTTATGCTGCAGTAGCAGCGCCGGCACTCAACTGTGCATCGATCAGCTGCTTTTGCTAACATTGAGGGTGAATTCGGCGAAAACGCTCGAGAATGTCCCACAGGTGGTCATTTTTGAACTGAGTTTTTAAGTTCATTATTCTTTCGAATTTATTGAGCGGCTTGCACACACGCTCAATTTTGCTCAAATGACGCTGAAAGCTTTACGCTACTCTGGTGCTAGATATTTGGCGACAGATTATGGTCTATTTCTATTTATATAGGGTTGTAGTTTTAGGCCGGGGTTCACCCGCTTTGGTTATGTGCTGTGCGGTGGCTTGTCACCCAATCTGAAATTCCTTAGGGAATAGGTAGACCTCTACCTTCGTATATTCTCATACATCAATGTTCTTCCCCGTTTCGCAGACTCGCTCATAGTGTCAACTCAACAAGCTCATGTCTCATAATGCGCCATTCCTGGATCCCCGCGGTTCTCCAACCGAACTTTACGTGGACACCTCGAAAATCCCCCACTCGATTATCTGCCGAGATCCCTCCAACACCAGAACCCAGCCATCCTCTCGTTCGCCGATTTTGGGGATACATACATTCGTTCCTGAAGCGATTCTCGATTTACTATTGTCGCTGGGTCGAAATTCCTTTCGACAATCAAATTATTCCGCTACCATTTGGCCTGCTCTTGAAATGGTCGGATGGAACACGACTCGAAGAAGTCCTCGCAACCGAAGTATGCCATGCCGCAGGATTACCAACACCAAAAATCATCTCTTACGGAGAACACCCAGATACCCCGCATGCGCCAGTATCAATCCTGATGACACGACTACCAGGCCGTGAGCTTGGCCAAGCGTACGAATCGCTCAACCCAAAAGCCAAAACTACAGCTCTTACAGAGTTTAAACTTTACCTATCAACCATTCGGGGGTGGAAAAGTCCATGGGGCGACGAACGAGTTTGCTCTATCACAGGCGGTGCAATCCGAAGCATCCGCGTCCCAGATCATAAAATCGGCCCTTGCGAAACGCCTCAAGAATTCCACGAGTATTTACTCGCGCCTGCCCGTAACTCGTTTGGATCAGAAGCTGTATATGAAGAAAAAGTACGCAGCGCGAGAAAACTTCAATTCCTACAGCGACCTGGCGTCAAATTTACACATGGGGATATTAAACATCACAACATACTTGTGGATGAGGAAGGTCACATTACTGGATTTCTAGATTGGGAGTCTGCTGGTTGGTATCCAGAGTTCTGGGAATACACTACCGCATTGCGATTTTTGCCAAAAGACTTTTGGTGGTATGAGTTTTTGATGGAGGTTGGTGCACAGCGATATTTAGAAGAATCAGAATGTGAGAGGGCGTTAACGAATTTGACGGCCGATTCGTTCTCGTGGTGAAAATGGTACAATACGTTACAAAGGGGATAATTGTAATAGTTAGCTAAACTGGCTAATAGTTAGGTAGTGGTATATAATAAGGATCAAGGTATCATAATAAAGAGAGAACAGAACTTCAAGCCAAAGTCCAAGCGCCTTACATGACGAACTATTCCTAAGAAAGGTTTAATTTCGCTTCTATCTATCTGTAAACATCTCCAAAAGAAAAAGACAAAAAGACATTCAATTCATAGATAGAAGTAGCAAAAGGTTCGACGCAACAGCGGTCTACATCCTTCTTCTTTCGATTCTTTCCCGTAACATTCATTCGTACCTCGTCGTAATTCTACGCAACGGAAACCGGTTCGTAGTGCTCAACCGTACGTGTCTGCTTCAGTTACCTTATCGTTCGGTACTTCGGCACGGCCACGCAGGTGTATTGCGGAAGAAATGGTGTTATTTGAAAATATATATTGGCTGAGATGAAAAGAGGTGCGAGGCGAGGATTACCCAAAACCAACCCTAAGAACGCGAAACGAAACAAATAGGCAGTACCTTATAAGCAGCAACTTTGCTTTGCTTCTTTTCCTTGCGACTGCATGGCTGGATGAGGTATAATTTGATAAAAAGGGGAAGGAGAGACGAAATGAATTCATAAAGCAAAAGAAGGGACAGCACCTAGGATATAGTATTCATCCTGGAACGACAGAATTCGCTTACTTGCTTACACTTGTCACAACCCTCTCCCGCCCACGCAGCGCAGCCATTGAAAATCAAACACTGGAAACAATAACATTTATAACTCCCGAGAGTATCCCTATAACACACGATACGAACCGCTCTTAGACATGGTGAAGTATACTTATATCTGCCACCAGAAAAGAAAAAGATGGACGTTGGGAATCTCGCGGCGAAGAGATTTTCTTGCAGTTGCCGCCGGGCAGTTGGGTGCGCCGCTAATGACACATCCACCCACACCACACCACCTGCACCTATAGCTGCAGCAAATCGAATCGGGTGAGATCTCAAGCTAGTGTGGCATTGATTTTACCTGTACCTAGTACTTATTATCCGTTTCGAGGTTTTCTTCAATTACTACCTCAGAAACATAGCTAATGCGGTAGGTACTAATATTGTTTTAAGGAACTGCAAAGTACAAATATGAATAGGTTCAAGCGTGGTATGTGATGCTTCTTTCTACGAACATCCCAAAATCCCAACTGTTATAGATTGGATTCATCAATTACTAGTACTTAAAAGAAAGTATTATCCTCCGTGTCGTTCGTTTTAACATTTAAACTTGCAAGCTAAACAGGCCTATAGTACCGTGAAAAAGGGGGACCCAAGCTGAGATGATAGGGGAGAGGGGAGCTCGCATCTCGCTTACCGTACCCTACTGCAGCGTATTCCTTCGGGGGCTGTGACTGTGCTGTGCCCTGAAGCCACTACTAGACAGCAGACATGCTCTGCTTCCCCTTTAGAAACGCACGTATCGTTAACGAGCAACCAATTCGGCATCTCATCAGTCCCGTATTACGAGTATGGTATGTACGAATGTGGTTACAGGGATATTTTCCCGAGCTGTCTATGCTGACACCGGTGAAACTGCAGGTGCGGGGTTGGAGGGGTATGTATCCCTTGCTTTCCACTTTCACAGGCCAATCCGAAGCCCAGCTCAACTTGTCAAGTACCTAGGTAACTCTCGTATCAACTCCCATATCACACCTTCATTTGCAAACACTGTGTCCTAGTTAATAATTGGCACTGTCCACCTGGAGCAAGATCATTATGGATTTCTGGAGAGCAACTTCACTTGTCCAGGTTGAGGTTCATGAAGGACGTGGCGTCGCTCTCTTGAAAATCAACCGGCCAGAAAAGAGGAACTCTTTATCCCAAAAGCTCATCGACACTTTAATCGCCGCTATTGACCTGGTGGAAAAAGATGATACGGTCAAGGTCGTTGTCTTGACTGGGAGCAGAGCCGCGGGCCCATTTTCAGGTATGTGCATGACTCGAATCACGACAGGCAACAAAAGTATATTTTCATAAGACTTTAGAAACAATGGAAACACCGTCGCTGCTAATTAAATCAATGCCTTCCATCCATGATGATTGCTAACAGAACACCAGCCGGAGCTGATCTGAGCGAGATGCTGCACCTCACCACCGCCGAAGCACACAAGATCCAATACCTCAAGGACCTAAACGAAGCAGTGACTTCAATGCGCAAGCCCATCATCGCCGCCGTCGCCGGCTTTGCCCTCGGCGGCGGCTTCGAGCTAGCCATGATGTGCGACACTATCTACGCTGCAGAGGATGCCAAGTTCGGTCTACCCGAGTTAACAGTCGGCACGATTCCCGGAGCGGGCGGAACTCAGCGTCTTACACGGATCCTAGGGAAGCAAAAGGCTATGGATATGATCCTCACTTCTGCTACTGTTACCGGGAAAGAGTTATACGGATTTGGATTGGTAGCACAAGTGTTCACTGCTGATGAGCTGGTGCCTGCGACACTGGCTGCGGCTTATAAGATTGCGTCGCGCTCGGCACCTGTCGTGAAACTTGCAAAGCAGGCAATATTGAATGGTATGTGTTTCTTTCGCTTCGCCGTCTCGGGGTCTTCATTGCTGACTTTCAAAGCCGAGGAAACACACCTTGAAGCTGGTCTCATGCTTGAACGCAGTCTGTACTATAGTTCGTTTGCCTTGGAAGATAAAACGGAGGGAATGGCTGCTTTTGTGGAAAAGAGACAACCTGTATTCAAGGACAAGTAGCCGTGAAGCAACCCACAAAAATTACAAATACGTACGTCACATGTCTGGTCTGAAATAAGTTGTCTATCTGGATCCCACCGTTTTCGATAATGTAGCTAAACATTGTTTTCTCTGGCATTCGAATTCAGGGTGTCTAGCGCTAGTGCAAGCCTGTTCCTGAAGAGATAATCCTCGATTTCCGTGTATCGAGAATAGTATCGGAAGTTGTCGCCCGGGAGAGGTTGATAGTCGTGCCCGACCTTTGGAGGCTGTCCTTTCTCTGCAAGCTCCTTGGCTTTGTGCGAAACTGGATGGTTTAACAGTAGCTCGGTATCTCTAAGCTTCAATTTAAGGGCGATTTGAATCCGATCCGCCGGCTTCCTGCGTCTATTCTCGACTTCTATTTCTGCAATCTCGTTGGGAGAAGCGGTAGGGCTGATTGGGATATGTGTTCGATCCATGTTGTCCCAATGCGGGTGCTTAAATACTTGCTGGGACTCGTTTTCTCTGGGTATTTGTGGGACGATACGATTTTCTGCTTGTTAAGAATAGTGGTCCCATTTGTACGCCTAAGTTTCCGTATCTGTCCCTGAATCGGCATCTTCTTCCACACGCCGAAAATGGAATCTATTAACTTTCGGGCAGGGCCGTTCCAGAATGCATCGCGGCGGACATTTATGAATAATTCACAGGGTACTGGGTAATGGTCTCCATGGAACTATCGGGCGGTACGGTGAGTAAGTCTAGTATGTTGTTTCCTTCTACCAGATCTGTTACCTATTATAGTGGAGGTGAAGTTGGGATCAAAGATTAATGGCCAAGGGACCTTGGTAGTTCCGTATTAGCCGCCACAGAGAAGCAGCACTGTATCCATTTTACTTGAAAGCTCCCCCAGCAGGGCTACCTGAACTCGAGAGCTCCTGAGATATGTTAGTCGAAACTGAACTAAGGTTTAGTTCGATGCAAAAACAAGAGGCACCTTACAGCGCCGAATTCCTAGGTTCGACCACCAAAGATCGTTGGTCTCATTAGTATGCAATTAATCCAGGCCGGTGAACCTACTGAATTATCAATCCAGGAGCCTCTGTTCTTTATCAGTATCGAACTCGCAGGTTATATAAGTAAGTACGAACCATTCAGCGACTGGCTCTGTGTCAAAGTAAGGCTCTCGTCTTGAATTACCTTCGCTTCGTTTTCTAGAATCAGGCTCTTGTTTCCAAAGGAAGTGCTGGTTCCCAAAGCTGTCAGCGTTCTGAGCATGTTTAAACTCCGAGGGGTGGAAGATTCTGGGTATTGGAAATTGAAGAATTGGAAAGGGGGTGCGAGTGGGCTAGATGCCAAATGATCCACAGTGTATATCTTGAGAAGAAGTTATTCCATATGCAAAACTTGAGCCCCCTATCGGTAACCCATTGAAGGGATAACATCTTCCAACCTTAAAGGATATGCATAGTTTTCCGAAGCTGCTCTTAGTTTCTCTTGAACAATTGCTGCCATAGCCATACTTTGGCAGGTTGGAGGCTGCGGCAGTATCCTATGGTACGTAGAACCACTTATCGCTGCTCTATGGAGAAGTTCATGATCTAGGATATCTTCGAATATTCCGAAAAACAAAGTATCGTACCTATGTGAAAATAGACCCAAGCTCTCAGTAACATGTCTTTTTGCTGAGATCGATAATAAGCTGGGTTTCGGTACTATGCTGCGGTATGACAAAGGCCGCTATCGTGATAGTACACAAATATATTGAAGAAAGACGTAAGTTTAACTCTGAACCTCCAGCTAATTCCTCCATTTATCAACGAATACTTAGTTTTTCACTTGTTTGAAAGAACGAAAAGGATGCCAGTCACGTGATCCACATACCTCCGAACAAGCAAGCCATTTAGAGCGAAAGTTATACCAGGGATTTAAAAACGAAAGACACCTTTTCCTTTTCGCGATGTAAAGTGGTCGACGCCTTATTATAATAAAACAATAAACTGCTAATTTCGATATACATATATTACTTGAATTAATTAACCCCAGTAACCCAGATACCCAGAAACGCGCCTCTTATTGATAAAGAAACAAAGTTGAAAACAATAAACCTCCATAAATCCTTGCTCCTTCTCAAGATATTAACTCAGGAATGAAGAAAGGTGTTATATATGAGTAATTCGACAGCGTGGGTGGAAAACAGAACATCGCATGCATGGAAGAGAAAGTCGCCTACTTATAAAAAAGCAGCGTAAAATAAATTGGAAACAAGCCTAGAAAGAAAGGTAACTAACTGTATTGTATCGCCTAAGGCGATGTGATGGCCCGAGCCGCACGCAGCGGCCGCTATTTTAGCCAAGTTGCGGTCACGGGCCGGGAGCGATAAGGATAGATACAGTAGATAAATTTAAGGTTAATTGGCGTGGTGGGGGATGAGCGCCAGGATGATGGGATGTGGCGAAATGAGGGGAAGCAATGGATTGTTGAGAGGCGTGTGTGCGTGCGTTGTGAGAGGCCCGGCTGGTTCGTGGGCAAGGATCGCTCGCTGTGGGATGAATAAAGTGCATTGGACCGGATGCTTGGACAGGTGGGAGCTTCTTTCAACTGCACACGAGACCCCTTGAAGCGTTCGGACGATGGGGCGGGGATTTTGGTTTATGTGAGAGATTGGGATTGAGTGAGGATCATGGCGAGGAAGTAAGAAGGAAGATTGAGGGGGTTGAGCAGTAGTTTATAAGTATGCAGTTGGAGGGAAAAAACCATCGATTTCATTCTGTGGATGGTAATGAATAACAAATACACTTTTGGGTATTATCACTAGCGACAAGACAAATACTGGTATGCGCTCCCATCATATCAACGCCATGAATGACTCCCTTCCCAAGCTGGGAACATCAAATCGTAACTCGTACTGTGGCCCGCACGTATCATTATGAAACCCAATCCTAAATAATCCCTATACCAAAAGAATAATACCAAGTGAACATTAAAATCATTCATTCATTCGTCATTCGTCAATGTCTGCGGAGTCCTTTTCCAGACGTCGTCCGTCGCCGTTTTACTGGCGATGGTTGTGGAAGTGATTGCAAACGGTCGGAAGGGTACGGTGGTTGCTCGTAGCGGCAAGCGATTATTTCGTGGCGGTGGTCGGTCGTTGCCCACTGCGAGAGCATGCTCGGACCCGTAGTGGACTCGAAGTTCGAGAATAACGAAGGTCGGTCTGGAGGCTGCTGGCCTTCTTCAACGGCCTCGCTCACACTCTGTTCGATGGCACCAATGACTGCTTCGCGGAAGCTGGTGACTGGTTTCTCCTCGTCGTAATTGAACGAGGTGTACTTTGCAATGTACGCGGCACGCTCATTGTTCATGCCGTTGTAGATGGAGCCATGGTTTGATACCATGGACGCATCCTCGTCAATAAATGGCTCATCGTCCGGGAAGAGGATGAAGTCTTTGTAATTGTTGACTGGTTGGGCGGATTCAGCACCATCCACGAAGCCGCTGTCGTCGAAGTCATTTTCATGTACAGCGGGGTCGTCAACCTGGAAATCGTGGTTGCCAGAATATTTAGAGGCACAGGCAGATTTGCCTTCAAACCCTTGGCTGTTCGAGTCATCTTGGTTCATCGTGATATCCTGAGCTTGTCGCGCGGCGGCCTGGTGTCGGGAAGCCATACTGAGTGAAGCTTTTTAGGCAGCGACGTCAGAATGTGATGTTTGAATGAACGGGAACAGTGAGGAGTTGCGACTTACTTTTTGTACCAAAAGATGCGGACAAAGTATGGTGATTAAAAAGCGACAATTATTTGCGGCGACGACTTCAAATGATGCTGTTGTTGAGAACAGAGGAATTGTGGGGGATTGTCACCGCGAGAAGGTGTTGGAGGGGAGCTTCTGGTCAGGGTAGAGAGGCGAGTGCCCAGTGAGAGAGAATCAATCCACCTACCTACCGTACTTTGAATTCGCGGTACGCGAGAACCCAACGTAGCGAGCGAGTGAGTGAGAGAGAACCTACATCTGCCCCCGTGACCGCAGCACACACACCATACCAAAATCGGGACAAGCCCAATCCATTGCTGCAATAACACAATGGGGATAAGAAGGGGAGGTATGCCGCTCATGGAAGCGTATTACTTGCTCTCGTGAACTTCCACGGTCACGCTGTTCCTTTGTTCAGATTGTTCATTGGCCTTGGCATTGGTGCTGAGCGTGCGTGTCTCGAGAGCTTCGGTGAGATCGTATGTATGAAAGAGGGGAAGACCAATCAGGGGTCGTGGATGGCGTTTTTATGGGTCCAATCCTTCAGAAAAGGGCCTCCTGGATGTGAGGGGAGGTGTACGGGACCGGTCTGCATGAATAGCACGCTTTGAAAAGCAGACTCACTGGCCGGCGCGCGGAAACAGAAAAGACGAAAGATAAGTTGCGGCTCCTCGCAACTCGAGAGGGCGCCGACGTTGCGTGCGAGCGACTTGTGTGTGTTCTGTTCCGGACAGCCCTTCGACTTATACCTTTCTCTTCCATCTCCTTCAAACAAGTGGAGTTAATGCAACACCGGGAACTTAGCAAGGGTTCAGGTCACTCTAACAAGGGCGAGTGCCACATAGAAATGGGTTGTTGCAGGCACAACGAACACTGATTCGCCTACTACTTGGAAGTCAAGTGTAGTACCCAGCTCGTACGCCGATCCGCCTGACAGCATGGCAAGGACCGGAGATGGCGCAGTGCTGGGGTGGGACAGCGGTAAACAGGCAGAAGCAAAGGATCGCGAGACCGGTCTGAGGGCTGCTTCTCAGCGCCATCATTCAGCGAATCAAATGGTCTTTGCTGTAGGCTACTGAAGGCATCCCAGCCTGAACTTACAAACGTTGCTTTTTTGCCAACCGAAGTTGCCGTAACATTGGTGTTGTGCTTTCGCCCCCATAATAAGCGGGGGCACATGCACATCCCATGAGCTGAAAAGCTCACCGAGTTCTCAGGGCGTCGAGAAGTATAAAATCAACATGAAGACCACAACACCATGGGCATCGAGAGACCTATTGATTTGATGATACGGTGAGGATTCGCCGTTTGCTACAGCAAGGCATCCGACCACCTTGGGTCAGATATGAGGTACGGAAGGAGGTGTTTGTTTCCGGCAGGTGCAGCAAGTGCCCTTGCACTGCGTCAATATCAGGTCCGACATGTCCAATCATTTGAATCTGAGTCACGGCTGGTGGTGGAGGGTGAAGTTGCATTATGCGGACAAACAAACCAGACACATCCTTTGGGTGAGAACTTAAAAGGTTGAGATTTGGTGTCTCAGGCGAATCTCACGTGATGCAATTGTCCTCCCTTGGTGTCAGGTTTCTCTCTGGCAGTCTATCGTTCAATAGAAACAGGGCCAAATTGTCTTTTTCTTTGCTTTAACTATGTATTATACCCCTCATTACATCGTGTGTCTTGGCTTTTCGTTTATTCTGTCACCGGGCAATATTACTCGTGGACAATTCCGAGAAGCACTCCGAGGACATCCCCAAGAACATCTACGCCAGACCTGCACTAGCCTGTTGGGAGTCTGGAGAATTGCCAAAAACACAATCTGGAGAAGTTTTCAGATGGGTAAGTCTGCTTGTTTACCGCAGTCGAAATCTCCCCGATGCAGATTACTCCGCATTTGCCACGATTAATCAAAAGTTCTTCCGAATTATTCAGATCAAAAGCGAGGCTTTGGTTCTATTTAGCAACATCATAAACTGAGTTACGAGGATTTGTTTTCTCCTATAGGCATCATGCTGTCTTTATTCTTTATCTCTTCATTTCTAACCACGGCTCTGGCTGGTGGCCAGCTTGAACGTCAAGTATATGGTTCACCATGTTATTGCACCAATTATTCTCAGATTCCAACCGCAGTAGCATCATGTACTGAGATCCTACTCGAAAACATCGCAGCGCCAAACAATTCCAGCATTGATCTCTCGAAACTGAAAGATAATACTAAAGTTACATTCTCGGGCCTCACAACTTTTGGGTTCACCAACTCGAGCTCGTTTGAGCCGATGATCTTCGGTGGCGATAACGTGACAATCACGGCTGCTAAAGGAGCACAAATTGATGGTAATGGACCGGCATACTGGGACGGACTCGGTTCAAATGGAGGAGTGCCAAAGTAAGCTTAAACCTCCTATTTGAGATAGCCTTCGGGCTAAAAACGAAAGACCAAACCATTTCATCACCGTCAGCAAGATGACCGGAGGCTCAGTTATCAAGCTCCTCCACATCAAAAACTGGCCCGTCCATCTCTTCAGCATATCAGGCTCCTCAGACCTCACACTGCGCGACATGATCCTCGACAACAGCGCCGGCGACGCGCCAAATAACCGCAGTAACGGTCTAGCAGCCGGTCACAACTCAGATGGCTTCGATGTCAGTTCTTGCAACAACACGCTCATCGCAAACACGACGGTCATCAATCAAGATGACTGCGTGGCTGTCACGAGCGGGAATAATGTTACCGTGGATAGTATGTATTGTTCCGGGGGACACGGGTTGAGTATCGGTTCTGTTGGCGGGAAGGCCAATAACGTCGTGACCAATGTCCTCGTACGTCTCCTTTTCCCCCCTCACCCCCGTGAACAGATCACTGATAAACTGGGCCACAAAGTTCAGCAACAGCCAAATAGTAAACTCGCAAAATGGTGCGCGCATAAAAACAAACTACAACACCACTGGCTTCATCGCCAACATAACATACTCCTCCATCTCCCTCTCCAACATCTCGAGCTATGGTATCGACGTACAGCAAGATTATCTGAATGGCGGGCCAACGGGCGATCCGAGCAATGGTGTGAGTATTGAGAATGTCCTGTTCAAGAATGTCACGGGCACGGCGACGGAGAGCGCGTATGATTATTATGTGTTGTGTGGCAGTGGCAGTTGTGAGAATTTTGTCTTCGACGAGGTGGAGGTGACGGGGGGTGGGAAGGGGGCGAGTTGTAATTTTCCTGCTGGTGGGTGTCCTGTTTGAGAAATAGAGGGCGTAAGTTTGATTTGAGTGATGCAAAATGAAGACCGGTTTGTCGGGTTCAGATGTATTTTTCTGCTGTGGAATACGCCTCTTCCTTCCACTTATCCCTCTATCTCCAATCCTTAAGCCAAGAAGGTTCTAATAAGGACAGCGCTTTCAAAGATCGTGGGAAGGATGTATACAACTTCGAAGTTCAAGAATCTTATATAAACATTGCAGTAAGGCTAGCGAAAGGTGGTATCTCTAGAAAGTGGAGCCTTCTTTGTTGTAAAAGGGGTGGAAAGTGGACCGCTTAAGAATTTACTGTAAGCGAAGTCAGGGGTAATTATGCTCTAACAATTCGACGACATTATCTACCTACACCGGCATGCTTAGTCAGCTGTTAAACTTTGCTACTGTAAATACGTGTCAAAGTCTGAACAGTGACATTCCCGGAGAGAGTGGGGGGAGTACTTGGAGCGCCACTCACATAGGGCAGAGGGACACGATTACCATGGTGGTCAGGGGGAGACGAGTGGGGGGCGGCCTTAGGCCAAAGGGTACCTCCCCCCTCAGCGCCTTCCCTTGGCAAACTTAGAAGTCAGCAACACCCGTTGATATTGGTTCTCGAACCCATTTCAACCGCTCTCCAAAGTCCCACTCAGCTGGATATGCACCATGGTCCAGACTACAATCCACACGTACTTTAGATCCGCTTCGCAACGCCAATTCCACCATCACAATAGTCCACAACCGGTGAAGGATACGGTTTCAAGATGACCAGAATCGCATACTGACACTTATCAGATCACGTTTCTCCACCTCCCCTTCAATGTTCGAAGGAGAATATACACATATGCAGGTCTTCCGAAAGAACTTTCCATCTCTCTCAACTTCTGGCCACCTACAGATATATGCGCACAAACACTTCGGGGATATCGCCATGGTCTGAATTATTTGCCCTCTGTGGATGATTGTCCTAAAATCTACCTCAACCCCGACGAAGACGATTACGCAGACACGTCCCCTTGGAAGCTTTCGAGAAGCGAAAGTTTGTTATATTTCTTGGAGGGCCTATTTCCATATCCCGCTCCTCGCGGCGTGCCACTATATCAATCATGCCGATCCCTGGGATTGTCGCTGCGAACCCTTACCTTTTCAGCTACTTTTCATCTCTCAAGTTATTCGCGATGAGGTCCTATCGCTATTCTACTCTGAGAGCTTCTTCTGCGCTTGTCGAGCGGAACTAGGTGGTCTGTCGGGACTTTTCTCGTTTACTAAGAAGGCTTTATCTCAGATAACATCATTAACTATCCGTGTTAACATTTGCTCGCCCACCGAGGACAAAGAGATAGGGCATACCATGTTGACAAATGATTGGTCTGCTTGCGATTACACTACTTGTCAGGCTCCTCGCAGTGAAGACATTCTGCAGACCTCCGATTATTCTAAAGATCCACGCAATCAAGAGCAGACACGGACTATGGCAGAGTGGTCATGCTTATGCAGTCACATCGCCGCCTCCATTGTTCCGAATCGGTTGAGGTTAAGCGTTGCATGTAACACAGACGATGTTGTTGCAAAAGAATTCCTTGGCCCTCTCATGAGTCTTCCGCAACTTAGGGAATGCTCCATTCGTCTTGGAGCTCGCAAATACCATGAAATGGTGCAATTGGCTGCAGAAACTGTGTACAAATTTACCAGACAGTCAACCGGCCACATTGAGCGTCCATTTCGATTTATGGGTCTTCCAGAAGAGATTCGACTGCAGATTCTCATGTATACTGATCTTATCAGTTTCCGGGACCTCGCTTGTCTTCCTCGGGGTATTCCCATAGCACGTCGGGTCGTGGAATACCACGCTGTGAAGCAATTTTCGGATACCATGTTTCTCTGTTGTCGGGCATGTTCCGATACCATGGAAGCTTGTTGTTGCTGGACTCGATATGCTGCCGCCTCGACAACATCTTTATGTTGGAGATTGCCCACAGAATTCTTGTTAGTTTCCAAGCAATTTTGCAAGTATGCAACAGAAATCTTCTTCTCCAAGAACACTTTTGTGGTTATACCAGAAAGTTTTGTAGTTGAACCAGAAATGGGGCGAATGCGAACTCAAGACAGCTCTTTGGAGACATATCGATTCCTAACAAGAACACCAGAGCTTGGTCGTCAACACCTCAGGTATGAACAATGGGGATCCTACCACTTCTTTTATTTGGGGATGTTTCAGGCTTGGGGTCCGTGAGCCATGGCGCTGCTAAACGGAAGGCTATGCGAGATATGAGATCTTTCTACGGCCCCTGTGTTTTGATTCGTACTCTCAAGCGCTTACGAAGAAGTAAAGCTAACTAGCTGTGTCTTGTAGGTCTCTAACTCTGCTAATCCCCTTGGAAACACTGCAAAGTCTCCTTGTCTGTAGTAACAAGGCACATATCGATTGGTTGAATGTCGTCAATATACTACGCTCGAAGCCGAACAAATCACAATTTACCATTACGATTGACTCTTCGACACAGAGAAGTTCTGCGAACCTTTACATGCATAATCCATTCTCGACCCAAAACCGAGCGAAAAAAAGACGTGTAGAGGAGAGAAATGTGGCTTGGCTAGTGAGTGAGTCCTTGACAGGTCATGGTTGGAAGGACGTATTCTTCCATTTCAATCGGCCTCGATACCCTTCTATCCAAAATAAAGGATATAGACTTCAGGTGACGAAAGAGGAAGAGCAAGTGGGAAAGATTATTATGGGCAAGAGCTATGACAGCGTTTCCCGGGGAAAGACGGAACGTAGACACGAGTGGAATGGGCTTGCCTGTCAATGCCGTGGCAAATGCCCTGCAGTTTCGTAAGCCTTTATCTTGGCGGTACGAGTATAGAGCGCCTCTTGCCAAATCAATAGATACTTACCTCGAGTCGATAGTTTCAGAAAAAGAAATGTTATCCGGTCTTCATACTTTTACTGCTCCCTTGATGTGGACGTGGAAACTCATTGGCTCTTCAAGACTAGCTGGTCTCAGATGACTGCAGATATTCGATCTGGTACCACCTTCAGTTCTCAAGATCCCGTCGACTTCGGGTTCAGCTGGACTCAAATAGCAGTTGCGTTACAGATGGATTATTCCGAGTCAGACTCACCCGACTGGTAACTTTCAGGTCTCGTGAGTCTTCACATATCTCTCGTGGCCATCGAAAGCTGATTTCGTTAACACAATACACTGCAAGCCTTCATTTGGAGGGGAATTTGGATTGCTTACCTACTGCCTATGCGGTTCTGAAAGCCATGGCAATCAAGCAGTACATTTCATTATTTCTTTTGAAGTTGAATGCACTAGTGCTTACCTTTGTGTTAATAGATAACAGATATACCCAAGGAAGCACTACATCACTAGTACTCGCATTTCTTTTGAGTCTGAAACTGGGTCCCTTTTTGCTCCAAATTACCTGCTATTATGACCATTTAGAGGGTCTGCTGAGGCTTGATCTACTGCGCGTGTCTAAAGTCCAGGTCTTTCGGGATGACGAAAAGAAAGTTTCGGTAGCGAGTAGGCCCCTGAATTCCAGACCCAGATCCCCGGCTTCCAAGACCCCAGCGGGGAATCTGGTCGACGGGAACCTCACATGGCACTAAGTGTGGCAGTACCGTACCGCAACGCTAGTTACGGACTTACAACTACCGCGCTCGTGTGGTCCGTCCGTCGATTTAGAGTTTATCTAAGCCTCACAAGGTTATCAGTCCTCAATTGAGTGGGTGTCTGTTTCCTAATGGAGCTTCCCAGAGGAAGGGCTACGGGATATAAGGAGGAATGGACTCCCGAGCTGAGCGCCCAATGAGATGAAGTCTCTTGGCATGTGACTTCGCCCTCCTTGGCTATCTGCTTGGCCCTGCGGGTATCCACCTTGGCATCAACGACGTCGACCTTTGAATTTACTCACCGTCCCGCTATCGTGAGTTGCAATAGCTTAGAAGTCTCACTTTCGGTCATTCTTTCAGGCGGGGCTGGCTCTTGTTTTGCAATTTAGGCGATTTTTCTCTTGGAATCTTCTTGGCGTGAGCGACGAGGGATATATGATGGCTAGTGCATTTATACAGCGTCTTGGTAGTTGCGCTTTTCGCGGCGGTGCAGAATAGGATGGGAGCGATTCCGAACAAGTGTAGGACTTGGGCTTGATGTGTTCGAGTCGCGGACACTTGCGAGTGTTCGGTCCCGGATTTCTACTTCTCCCTATCACCAGGTGCGTTTAGCTGATTCTGTCATGCCGTTTCCTCCACACATCTTATAACGTCTTAAGGAGCAAGACCCTCGAAAATTTGCAGTGCTATATTTGCATATTTCTGTAAGCAGTAGTTATAGGCACCTTTACACTGTCATATAATTCGTTTTATACGTATATCTACATGTTTTGGATCCACTTGTCTTGTATTTAGATTCGGACGTCATGACGAGCGACTTCACCAGCAAAGATATCCAGAGATGCCATCATTATGCTAGATTCATGCAGAATCTGACGGTAGTCCAGGCAAACATTGTCTTCTGGCTACTGTTCATCGTGGTGTTAGTCTTGATGTGCGTCGCTGCGTACCAGCATCATAGGTAAGATATCCTCCGCATTTATACTCTTTAGCCACTACCTCCCCCTACCTTCCTTTCATCTCGTTCGCAGTAAGCCAAGACAAAACATCACGATAGCATACCTAGCTACTGACATCCGTCACTTGAACAACAGATCAAACACTATCCCCGACATAGAACGCGGCTGCTCAGCACGGCACTACCGCCACGGCGTGCAGCGCCTACGACGTCGCTATCTCGGCATCGCAACGCTCTGCTTCCTCATATCCATATCCTGCGTCATGCTAGAATGCTTCGCGCTCTTCAACATCCAGTACTGCGATGGCGAGGACCTCATGCAGCTGTACTGGGGCTTCTGGTCCGTAGTGCAGGTGGGCAGCCTGATTGCGATTATGGGGGTCATGGTGCAGTTCTGGATCGTGATGCAGAAGCATGATACGCCGCCGTGGGGCGTGGCGTTGGGGACGCCGGTGCTGGTTTTCGCGGCGCTGGGGTGGATTTTCAAATCGCTGTGGAATAGGCTGTTGGGTAGGTGTACGGGGAAACAGTTTGGGGAGGAAGAGACGGATGATGAGGGTGGGGATGGGGATGGGGATGGGGATACGGTGAATGAGATGAATAAGTGGTTTAGTAGAGCGTAGGTCTTCCTAGGATGAGATGAGTGGACTTGGACTGATAGCAATGAAATGCAGACCGACGATCGTTCAGAAAGCAGGGGAAAATTTGGGGTCAGGGGGGTTGGGTTTAAAGAGAACGTTGACGGCCTGAGACCTCGAGGGTCATTCTTCTGCTATCGATGGAGCCTCATCGGCAGTTGAAATGGTAGGTGCATCTGTTCAAACCTGCTCAAGTGTTGAGATTATACGAGTGATGAGCGGGGCGTTTGGTGTTATGGCATTATATGGGTTGGAATCATCAAGAGGCGATAGAAACAGTAGTCGGGTCACTTTATGGCATCAGCAGACAAGGAGTCAGGTTTGAAATTCAGAGTCAAGACGTACTCGTAGATTTAGAAGGGTATCTAGATAAAAATCATCATATACAACCACACCTCACGCATCTATTTCACAGCATCTCCTTCCTTCCCTCACTTACATAACCACATTCCCAACCGCCGTCTCCATCCATAACTTCGTATAAAGCTTATGCGCAAAAAACACATGCGCCGGCATCGGCGGCCCATCCGCCTTCCCCAAGCCCTTGTAAAACACACTCTTCAACCGGAACTCCGCAACACCCTCATCCTTCTTAATCTGCACGCCCATCTCAAACAAGCCGTCGCTGGCCCGCACGCCCTGTTCCAGCGGCGACCCACCGCAGCGTACGACGATGGATTCGGGGGTCTTGGATACCACTTCGAAATGGTCTGTTATCTGTGTGCCGGGCTCGTAGGAGGAGCTGGCGAGCTCTGGGCGCGTCCACTAGATCACGGGGGAGTTAGTTACATGATAGAAGGGAGTAGGGTAACATGAAAGAGCCAGTTATACTTACGAGTTGGTGGGCTGTTGTGGTGGTGTTTTGGTATTTTTTGGATAGGTAGTGGCGTTGGTATGCGTAGCCTAGGCGCGTTGGGTGTTAGCCGTTGGTGTCCTCTCTCCTGTCCTCCCCCTCTTTCTCTTTCTCTCTCAGACGTATTGTGTAGGATTGTGTATATACATACCCAGTCCACTCCAAAGCCCCTGACAAAACGCCTCGGTCAACTTCCCCTCGGCCTCCTTCTCCAGCAGATGCGGCTTGATCTTTGATAATGGGACCCGGCGCACACACAGATCCTGGCTTGCGGGGTTCTTGTTGGGGTTATTGCGTAGGTAGGCCGGGGAGGTGAAGATTGCGTCGGCAGGAGAGAGGGGGACGAATTTCGCTGTGGGGGCGGTGCGTGGTTAGCTTGCTGTGAGGTGAGGGAGGCTGTTTTGTGCGGGCATAGTGTGGTAATGAGGCTGAAGAGACATGGAGGATGTAATGTAATGCTGGGCGACGAGTTTTGGGGGAATTGAGAGCTGGG